TGATACAAACACGAGTATAATACAAAGTTAGTTTTATTGCATTTTGCACTGGTTTTACTTTTTTTACAGGGTTATACGTATCAATATCAATATATATATATTCAAGTACGTACCTACATAGATATTCAATATAATTTTAAAGTAGAAAAATAAAAATGCAAAACTTTTCGAACGCTTTAATATATATAAAATAAGATATAGCAAGATATATATTAAGTACTCATTCATTAATAAAAAATATCTAATGTCACAAAATTAAAATACATTAATATTAGAATACTGTACATATTTCTTATGACTGTACTATTTACACATTGTAGTTTATTGCACATTTAGAAAACCTATATTTAAGGAATATAGAAAAATCGATGGAAATAGAAGGAATCGGTTTTCCAAATATTACTTAATCTATGTTATTATGTAATTTACCTTACTGTTACCTGTAACATTGGCGTATTTCAAATTATTTCACGGGAGGAGGGGTGGGGGGGGAGGCTGGTCCCTTATAACTTTACCTATAGCTGAAGGTTCCGCTCCTCATTCCATTGGGCACGGGCCCCCTCTATATACGCCTATGGCCTGTAACTTTATATCTCACTACCTTATTACTACTTATATGTAATTTTTATTATATAATAAAATAGACACTTAAGCAGATACATCTTTATTGATCAAAATATTTTATGATATTATTTTTATTCTCTGAACATTATTCAATTTTCAAAGTCGAAAATATTTACTGTTTGCCAAGTACCTTTCAACCTCACAGAAAAATCTATATGCCAAGTTGATTAAATTAATTAATTTACTTGTAATATATAATTACATAAACATTATTATTATTCCAAAGAATACCACAAATTTAGATACAAACAAAAGGGAGTTCTATACAGAATATCAGACCGGAGTCCCTTCAGGAAATTTCCTAAATTGCCGCGACCGTGCATCAAAGCTTTATCTTTTTTTACAGAACATACCTACTACTACTACTTTACCAGAGTCGTCCATGATAGATAAAAGTAATGTAACCAATAGCATATTTAATATTGCATGTGGCTCTACTGTACAGTGGCCTTCATTACAAATCTAATTAACTACAAACCCAATTGTAAAAAAAATGGGAACGGCAAGCGTGCTGACTGACGGTCAACCTGATGGAAAGTAAAAACCGAGGCCTATGTATGGACAATACCATTGACATTAATGTTTTGTCATGGGGACCTCATTTTTATATGCTTACAGGAAATTACTTAAATACCCTTTGTTTCAGAAATTACACCTGCCTACCAGAACGAAAGTTATATACTTAATAAAGAATAAAGTATTCTGTGGTCAATATACCCAGATACTCTGGGTATATTGACCACATTTAAATTTTTATTTAAAGGTGTTTTTTAAATTTATTTATTTAACCTTTAATGCACAATATAATCGTATGTATATTAGGATGACTTAACACCGGACGATATCTTCTACCAGTCATCTATTAGGCAAACAATCTATTCAAAAATTACTAGGTATTTATTGAAATTTTTGTTTTACAAATGAGAGCATTTTCAATCATCACAAAATTTAGTTATGATGAATGCAAAGTAAACCGTATCGGTTGTAAAAATTATCATAATTGACAATTCGACCTTCATTTTTTTGACATAGCTTAGAAATTATTAAAATTTGTTTATGCCATAAGATATTCATAATATAGAACCAGAAGGGAAAAGAATAGAATCAACAAAATAGGTTTTTATAATTGACGACGATAACAAAATACAAAATTGAATTGAGAATCTTCACTTTTTAAGTTGTTTGAAAATTTCTACAATGTTTACTAAAGAAATATAGTTTAAAAGTCTGTTTTGGGTAAACATTCTGTTGGCAGGTCTGTGAGTGTAGATATATCCTGCATAATACATGTAGTAATTTGTGCCTACCGTTCACGTACCGTATAATTATCGTTAAATCTATCCTTCAGCTATCAAAACTGGATAAACAATTTGACATGTTCTTGATAGAAATGTTCCGACGATATAAAAAACGAGTGGACAGTTGTGATTTTTCAAAATATGACAATCAATATTGTTTAATATTTAAATACAGATTTTTAGATATCTACTTTTATTAATTAAATTGATTACATTGTTTAAGTATATATAAATCATTGCATAGATTAGGTAAGTACGTAATCTATGCTCATATCTATGCATCAATCCATGCTTATAACTTAAGACTTACAATACATGCAATCGTCTTTCAACTAGGAACGAGTCTTAACTGAAACCTGTAACTTGAGAACTCATAACTGGAGGATATTTGTACCACACTTGCCAGGTGGTTTGATACAGAACTTTATATCGAATTTTCTTTCTTTTGCACGAATATATTGTGCTTTGTTTCTACTAATCGCCCTTTACGTTTTCTTGAGGATAAAATACAATCATCACCATAAAGAATTTGGCATACGTAGTTATAATTGCTAAATATTAAAGAATACGAAATCCAATATAAGTAAAAATTTAATAGATTTTTATAAGAGATTTGCTTAAATGCATTGCTAGTTTATAATCTAGCAGATGCTTATCAATGGAGCACACACTCAGTCTATTCAGTAAGGAACAGAGATCTCACAAATTCAAATACAAAATCAAACATTGAACTTAACCTTGAACTTAATATTAAGCCTGTTTAATAACAATTGTATTGTTTAGATGGTAAAAAACATATTAATATTTATATTTTAATGTAATTGATAAAAGATAATAAATTTTGATTAGTACTCGTACTTATGCGATACATAGGTAATAGGGTTTTATATTTTAGTCATATAAATTGACCTGTATGTGATTTGTATGTTACCAAAAAACGGGGATGTTTTTTTAACTTTAACAACTAAAACTTTAACTTGTCCAGTAATTTATTTTAAAATACATAATTATAATTACTTATATCTACATGCTAAAAGTATTCCATTTATAATACCATAGAATAAATTAGTAAGTGCTTATCATAAGTATAGTAAATGAGGAAATAATATACTAACTAATTTGTATTTTTTGATTAATTCATCATAATCGATCAATTTACATAAATTCAACCCCACCTCTCTCTACATCATCCCACCTACCATCCTTTATTAGTAACATAAGATATAAAAGCAAGTATAATTTCTTCATATTTTTTCTCTTCTTTTCTTTTTTTTTTATCTAATAAGGTATGGATATTACGGATATTTATTGAAAAAAAAACATGTTATTCTTCACTTCCTGCATTTTGTCTATGTGACTTTCATTCTTTTTATTGTATAGCCGATTTATGGCAAAATATATAGGAATTAGGATTAATACACTATAGTATTATAAAGTTGTAAAGCAAGTAATCTACGCGTAGAAAATAACTACTACCTAAATATATTCATGTGTTAAATTTTAATCTGAAAAACCTTCTTATTTAGTTTCGTGGAATCGTATATTTTTATTATCTGTTGTGCTGCGTGATTACGAGTACGACAGGTATAGACAAATTAAATAAATCACGATATTGATTTAGACTTAAAATAAAATGACCGAGCATCACGATATTATGGTAATAATACAGGTAGAATACAACTTGCATGCACTTAAATTATGCATTATCTATATTGATTTATTTGTCGCATTCCTAACTAACAATAGTTTGCTTAAAATAGGAATTTATACCTACCTACTACATATACTGATTTGGTAAGTAAAAATGAAAATAATTATAATTCCACATTAAATTGGCCAACATTATTTATTAATCTTGCCTTTTTTTATAGCCAGAAGAAAAAATAACGAATAGTAAACTAATAAAATTATGGTTTAATTCTTATTATCCTTATTTACTTACTAATATTATAAATGTGACATTATATTTAGTTATTATGAAATTAAACAATATATACGTGGGTTTTTCTTTTTATTCCGGTCAAACAGACGATATCACAGACACATTTGTATATGTATACTTTGTACTGTTATTATTTTTCTGTGGTAGTGTATCAATCTACACAATTAAGTGTTATATTCATTCATAGTCTTGATCTACTAAGTACGGATGTATAATAATAATGCATGGATTTTGAAATAATAATTCCACTACAATCAAAGATCCTAATTCCTATTAATGGTATTGATACCGTAAAAATAACATATTTTAGTATCCATAATTTATTGTTATTTTTATGATTCTTTGTTCTTTTATACAATAAAATTATACAAACAAACAATTTACGCCTTATGATACCATACTTTATAACCAAGCTACTAAAATTTTCACGGTCATAGTTTAACAATTTATTGGCCTGCCTAATTAGAGCCCAGTTCACAAATCTATCTATATATATCTAATAATAAAATTGTTATGAGACTATGGAATATTTTTTTAACTTTTGTGTGTTGGTGTAGGTTGTATAGGTTCGTCACACGTAAAAATTACATGGTGCATTTAAATGAAATTTAGTATGACAAAAACTCATTAGCTAGATTATTACAAATAGGTATTTTACTGGTGGGCAACATTTCCTTCATCTAAAAAAACAATAAATGCGAACAAATATTTCATCTAAAATAATATATGCTCCACAATAAAAAAAAAGAAAAAATATATATGCTCCAAATTTAAAATTAGAGGTAGATTTTGAATAATTATGTATTTTATTCTGGTAATAAGTTTCATGGAATAATTTAGCATCAAAAAACTCCATAGAAAGTCACAGAAAAAGCTAGTTAAATTATAATAGTTTTTATAAAAATAAATCTCGCACAAACAAATTCCTAGCTGACATTACGAAATATATTTTGTGATATATCAGTCAATAGTGTAGCAATATTATTATTAATATTTTCTAAATGTAGAGATCTACATATATAATCTGTTTATAGGTAAAAATACATTACAAATATAATAATTCTAACTCAACTAGATATATGCATATATACATATTCTGAAATAACATTATTTAACATTAAAAAAAATATACCTACCTTGGAAAAAAGCGAGCGCAAAAATTGATGAAATTATTAACCGCATGTTGACCACATTAACTATTTTTAATAAGTATTATTAATATATTGAATAGATTTCACACTCTAACTGTTCAAAACATTGTTTTTATTTCAAAATTATTATGTACAGTTTAAAATCCCGACAGTGTACGAGTATAATAAGTAGAAATTATTGATGCCGTGACTACGGCGCGGTGCTACGACAGAAACCAACTGTTCGCCGCCAGCGCTTTTTCTCACTTATAACTGCCCCTGTTTTATAATGAAAGGACGTCAACTGTTTTCGGTAACTAGATTTCCTGACTATATAATATAACGGTGACAATACACAGCTTTCGTAATACTAAGTAATAATTAGGTAGTACATTATAGACTATAAAAAATATGAAATATAAACTGATTTTTTTTGTATTCGTAAAATATTTATTTCTGTCCACTTGTGTTTAAGAGACCAATGTCGATCCTATTTTACAGTCTAATGGCGAGGTATAACAGTAAAATTACTGGATTACCAATAGACATATCTAACATTATAATTTAAAAGAATAGTTGTACCATGGATAGTTGTAGGCAATGGTTAGCTACTAGTTCTCGTCAGATGGACGTCACCTTGTATATCATTATAAGAAGTAAATATAAAAATTACTCTAACTTCCCAAAAAATTGCCTTCCTTATCCTTAAAATTCTTTTTCTTATCCTTATCCCAATTATATAAATTTTTAGGTCGGCGTAATATGTTTTTATCCATATTACCCAAGGTTTTGACTTTTAATTTTATAACCGGCCGCCCAAACCTAAATTACAATCATACCATAAATTATTTTATTTTATTACAAAAATATTTACAGTCAATTCAAATTAAATCGGAATTAATTAGATCCATATTTAGCCACTGGATACGTGTAGATCAATATAACTCTTTTTGAGTAACACCCACTGCTATATTATTTATTAGTAAATAAGTCTATGTACCTTTATTAAAGATAATCATCATATCATAATTTAACTGTCCGCTGCTGAAAATAAGCCTCCCCTTTAGGGGGTTTGCCAGTAGTTGCTACGCTTAACAGGCGGATTGGCAACTACAGTTAGGTTTTGGAAATGTTTTAAGAGGAACGCTGTTTCCCATCCCTCGCCCTCCTTAATTGCCTCTTACGATGCCCACGGGAAAGGAAGGAGTTGCCTATTGTATGCCGGGACAACAAATACAGTAAAATATATAGAATCAGCATGCATTACCCACCAAGACCACCTCGTGTGATGGATAATTACAACTACTACACTACCTAATGGAATAGATTACTAGAGGGCTCTATACAAATATTCAAATAGGTAATGAATTTACATGCCATGCCATAGACATACTCGATTTTGTTAAGGAAACAAAAAGTGTTTATTTAAAATCATAGGTTATCCATGTAAGAGTAGCCCTAGCATATCCAATAGTTCTGATGGCGCTGTGAGTCATTGACCTTGCTGTAATCTCTTTTTATCGATAAAAAAATTGTTAAATTGACATACCCTGAACGAAACGGCAAACAAGAATATTTTTTAACTCTTTATATCAGTTAAGATGCGCCTACAATCCAAACATCTCTTGGAATCAATGTGAGACGAGTGCAGAGACTACAAGCTTGAGGTCCATAAAGGTACGAATTCTTATCGTAGACAATATTTCGCATGCTTAGATTATATAGATAGAGCATCTAGTCTTAAAAACGGGGCAACTATATGTCAGCTAATTTTCAAATTAGCTATAGAATTAAAAAATGAAAGGTTTTCTAAATTTGTAATAGCAGCAAGAACTGAATTGATCACTGAGTATCTAGTTAACATTAAAGAATTAACTGATTTTTTTTATCTATGTAATTCTTTTAACAACTGCTAAGCATTATAATCATAGACATTTTGTTCGCATTTAAATTTATAACTTTTACGTTATTCAATTATACCTATATTTAAATAAATAACAATTTGCAATGAGACTAGTTAAGGAAATATTAAAATGAATGGAGTATATTACTGCGAACCAATAGGCATTTCACATGAAATATCTACATAATTACCTACAAGTAAATAAGTTGGTACTTCCCTACCTAATTCCGTCAGCAACAAACTGAACGCTCCAGAAATACAAATCCTTGTTTATAAATAAGTATTAACTACATAGTATTTTAGTGGTCTAGACGCGTAACGTATATAATATGTATAAATACTTACTTGGCTTAAGCTAACAAGAGCATAAAATGTTGACCGTGACTGTTATAGATGCATTGTAATAAAATAATAATAAGTGTCACACAAATACACACCAATCGCCTGGTCTTCAAGCTACCTAAGTTAAGTACCCTGTATATGCGTATAAAAGAATTCAAACAAAATCTGTGAGCACAACCCACAACACCGCCAACAACAAATAAACAACAAACAGAAAATAATCCAATTGTAACTAGACGTTGTCTAAATTATTATAAAGAGAAAAGATTTGATCTTGTGGTGATAATGTACGCATGACAAAAAATATTAATAATTTTTTATAATTTATTATTAAAAAACGAATTTTAATTTTAAAAATAATTGCATAAAATTGAATGCGATTGTGTACCTGAAAGTTTGAAATATTTTCTTTCGATATGCAAGTGGTTCATTTAATTGATTTTTCTATTTCAAAAATCCATATATATGAAACAAAAGTAAGTTATTGTATAAAATTCAGTCAATCTTTTGGTTATTTCCCTATTTAGGATCAGCCATCCTAATATTAAGTTATGGTTAAATAGAAACGCCACAATAAAGATTTAAAATAGAAATTTTCTAAATGTTCGTTTGCATAGATGGCTCTGTCTTACTCGTACAGTGCCACTATGCTGCTCTTGAATGTCTATAGTGGTAAAGTTAATAGTGAAATTACAAAATATGGAATAATAATCGAGTTTTTGAATGGCTTATATAGCTGAGTACAATAAGTATTACACTGTGATGTCCTTTATGTCAATGGTCCAACACAGGTGGGTTATCACTATCAGCTTGTTTTATATTCCAAGTTAGTAACTACGGTAGTATCTAGTTAAGTATAAAAAATCTACAATCCTGTATTTGGTCTGTGTAGGCGACTGGCATACTCTGTTTATGCATATCTTTTTATATTTAAAATTTCCATTTTGTTTTATAATTTAATTAGATTATGAAGTATATAAGTACGGTATACTAAGTCTATGAGTGTGTACATCTTTTCCCTTAATATATATAAAAAGGAATATCATGTCTACTCATATTACTTTCTACATCGGCTAAATAGGTACAAAAACAATTGCATCTGTAGAATCATTACATGTAAATGCATAATAATGTCTCTTATTATATAAATATTTTTTACGTTTGCCTGTGCAAAATTGTTATTGATAAACTTCTATTATATTATTGATGAATATTAGAAAATTGTTAACAATTAATACTTATTATTATAAGAATTCATACTCACCACTTGCTTTCTTCACCAAGAGATTACGACAAAAGAATAAAGCACACCTACTGGTGTGCTTAGTTCTTTTGTCGCCTGTTAGATACTCTAGCTGTTGTTAGGTACTTTAACAAAACTTAATAAAATTAATACATTTAACGATTAATGCTCTACAAATCCCAAATCCATTCCCCACATGGGGTATTGCTGTCACTTATGGATGGAAGCACTTAAATACCAGCTTGAACCCGTCGACTCGGTGCAAAGACGAGCCATTAAAATTGTTAATGATCTCAGGCTTACAGGCGGTATCGAACCCTTGTCTTAGATTTTGCCTCACTCTGCATGTTTCTACCACTTATACAACGGATTGTGCTCAAATAAATGTTCAATATGATGGCCATAGCCACTTTTTACCATCGTACCCCTCGCCGTCGACAGGGAGTTCACCCTCATACTCTAGATGGTCGCGTATAACGCGGTTTCAAAGATGTTTTCTCCCACGAAGACAGGTGGCAAACAAGCGGTTGCTATGGCCTATGAACGCTTGCAATACCATGAGTATTACGCGTTCAATCACTCCATAAAGCTTTTGCCCTTCATTTTTAGATTATGAATGTCGAGGTTTTCCCAAAACACTTCAACATAGGGTTCTTCAAAAGGGGGTTAAAGAGATTTCTTCAGGGTCGGCAACGCGCGCGTAATACACATGGTATTACAGGCGTTCATAGGCTACGGCAACCGCTTACAATCAGGTGGCCCGTATACTTGTTTGCCACCTCAGTGGTATAAAATAAAAGAAAGCTGCTTGATCGATATGATAACAGTCGGCTATATCCTTCTGTGATAAAACGGCCCGTGTCCAACAGTAGAATGTTGACCGGTTGTGAATAATAGTTAACTATTCATAGATTATTATATTCGCACAGACAACTTAGTACGCAATATTACTTTATGTGTGGTATTAATATTTAATACAACTGTTTTACTTTGATAAATGCAACTATAAATATAAACTATGTACTTGTTGTTTACTGTGCGGTCAGGTGAACCACTAAGCGATATCGCTAGCAGGATTTCGTAATAAATGTTGATACAAGGATTTCAAATTTAAAGACACCAATTGGACTTCACACATTTATTGTATTTTTGTCTAATAAAAATACTATATCATATAACTATCATAAAGAGGATATCTACAGCAATTGACAGTCTTGCTGGTTGTACACACTCGCGAGAGCACAACATAATAAATTCCCATAATGCTTTTAGTGCACTTTTAAGGGTATTTTTTTATTAACAGAACTATTTTAATCTTAATTTACAGCCCTATCGCAATTACTTTAACGTTCCAAACAAATACATACTGCGCCAAAGTAATACCATTCAATGGATATATAATTCATATATTGCACTATTGAGCCGAGAATATTGGTACAATAAAATAGAATGGGATGATAATAATACAATATTGAATATATTTCAATTTTAAATCCACTCCGTGGTTTGCAATATTAAGTACTAATGTGATTTAGGCACACCGTTATATTTTTAAAGGTAATTTTATAACATTTGATAATGAAACAATTCGAAGACAATTCATTCAGGTTTATACAAATTTATACGTTCATGATATAACATCACATTAAATAATGCGCGAACTTTCCAAAATACTTCAAAACAAACTGCCGAAATATGTGAAACAAATTACTCTTTTCAGTATGACATCACCCGTCTCACAGCATTTATAAAAATATTCATATTACACACAAAAGCTCACCATGCATATTGGAAAATGATTTCAAATGGACTACTTATTCTATATTATTATGTACACAATGTAACTAAAATAATATAATTTGCTAAATGATAATAAAATGTAGTTGAAATAATCCGATAATTCAATTTTATTATGAAACTGAATTAGAATAAATTACAGGAAGAATAAGTCCAATACGACAGATACAAGTATATGGTATTACATATATTTAATATTGGAAAATCATAGCCATCGATAGCATTGCATTTATATTATTCGGATTACATTCATAATCACAATAAATGTACACAATTGCACCGTCAACAAATGTCTCAATTCATCCAGTATAGATGTTAGGAACTGAATTAATTAGGAGTTATGTCCCACGAAACAATATTAAAAAAATATAATATTCCTAACATCAACACAGGAACTAAACATTTCAGAATGTTTCCAAAATTAGAATAACTATAATAAAAATAATCTGTGTACTTTTATGTATTCAATAAATTTGTCTTACAATTCTAAAAATGTGAAACAATCTACAGTTCTACACACAGCATACATAGTATGTACAATCGTATCTATATACACAATATAACATGGCAAAGATATTGAACGAGCGTTTCATTCGCTATACTAGAACACGCAGGAGCATTACCCATTTGCTCGTATCGTTCAATTGTAAAAATATACAGTTGCGCCAGTTAGGTGATTGTCGTAATATAAAGCATTCTCTATAAGGCAAATTTTAATGTTTACTACTGTGGCAGCCCTGATAGATATTTGGTAACTAACAACACTTATTGTCAATACATGAAACATCGTGAGCCTGCACACGATAACCTGTCCGATAGCTGAATATGTAACAAACTGAGACATTAGCTTGTATATTCAATAGTAATATTATTATAACAGCTCTATAATACCGTAAATCATGTTAGGAATATTTAGTGAACGTATATATGTATGTATATATATATGTATGGGGGCATTATTGCAACACAATTGTACATAGTAGTTAGTCTATTCACACATTTTCATGTAATAAAACAGTTCAGATTGTAAAACAACGATGTTCAATATTTATATACAGAAAATTCGTCTCATTTCTTCCTTCTGTTTTGATTGTCGATATTTATTCATATTATCCATAAAATTATTACACATTAATTTTACGTTACGCTATCTGTAAGCAGGCGAATTGTGTTAAGTATATGTTGGCAAATAGTACAATTCATCCACAAAGTCAAAACAATAAGCATATTCAAGGTGACTTTTCTAAGGAGCCAAGCTCGCACTAGAAAATAATGTCTAAAATATGCTGCCAATTGTCTGGTCAATTATAAAAATAAGCGACATTATTAGTCAGGGTTTTAATTTTCATACTTGTTTATGCCCGATGTAATTTGGAGATGATAGCCAAATATATGATAAATTCCCTTATAAGATATTTCCTTCTAAGGGACTTGTTAATGCATATTGAAAAAAATGGATATATGGATAAACATCGACTGTAAGATGTATTTAACTAATTGATATAAACACAAAACAGTCTGTGCGTATTCAATACAGAACACTACAATGTACTAATCATAAGTATATAATATATATATATATATATATATTGGGTAACCTGTAAAGTGATGACTCGTTGAATTTGGTTGATATGTTCATAAGTTGTTAAGTGACATGATGCAAAAACTGTGTGAAGCCCTGTGAGCACATCCTTTATAACATGTAATGTATGGAAAATATTTTTTATCAGCAACTATTGTCGCTTAACTATACACCATGTCACAAAAATATTTAATTTACACAGTTGTATATTTAGGTATATAATCATAAATATAATATTCATTTGTACATTACACATGTGATTTTATTTTTCTTTAATTATTTACAAAATAAACAATGTTGCAACCTTCACCCTATTCACAATCGCATTTAAATCTAAATACTTAAAATAATCAGGGCTGTAAAACCTATAATTAAACTAAACATTAATTGTTACTAAATGTATAAACAGTACAGTCAATTACATAAAATCTTGTTTCTGATCCTATAAAAGATGGAAATGGATGGACACAATTTAAATAAAACACAAGAACAAATAGAGTACACCTAGAACAGTCAATAACTTGGGCATAATTCGAATATAATAATTGCGTCCAAGGCAGTTGAAAGATAATTTCTTATCATTAAAAATTATTCATGCAAGTGCCATCCTTGTTATATTGACGAAATGAAATGGATGTTTATATCTTAGAGAATAAAGATGTACTTTTAATTATTAAAATCTGTCCTTATAACGATTGTTGTACGTACAAAAAAATGCATACTAGATTTCGGCTTGGCAATATCGTGCTAAAGACACAAATACCACTGTGTCGAACCGAACTGCTAATCCGCGACAAATCGTAATATTAACTACAAAACATCATATCTATTTCATCATAAAATGAATCTATCTAGTCATTTGGTATATAAATACTGCCCTGAATAATTATTTGCAATATATATCTGCTACAGTGGCGGACTGAAAAAGACGAACTGTACAATCTTAAATTATGTAAGTTAGAAATAAATAAAGCAACATTACAAAGTTGCATATAACTATTCTTCTATACATTGCTATTGAAGATTTAAAGTGAACAGGTAAGTAATAACTCTTTATATTTATATAAATTAATTAAAAATTCAATAAAAACTGGGGGGTCTCAAATGATAAATATAAAATGACTGAATTCTTTTAGTATCCATTTACATGTTCCCAAAGGTTTGCGGTTATATAATTGATAGTTTTCTTTGTGGATCCACAAAATAGCCCGTTCAGCAGAGATTAAATTATCAACGATTTTGTCTAATACTTGTGCAACTTGATATATCAATAATGCTTATTAACTTATATCCTTTATTAATCACAAAATATACGGTACCACTGATGGGATAGCATTATCTACACTTTAAACCCTTAGACAATACTATCTGTATATCCATCTTACTATATCGTACTATCCTTTAATGGTATGCATTAACAACGGGCTCAAGTTATATTTAAATGAACTGTAAATATATATAATTCTAGAATCCTATTGTATGAATGAAGAAAGTGGCCATTTATTATGATTCACTTGTCTACATTGACTCTCATCAAAATTGTATAATTTTTATGCTCATCAAAATTATGCCATTCTGAAAATTATGTTAACAAACAGAATGCATTATGATGTTCGTATAATTCGCCATTGTTTAAAGTTGCATGTTTTCATGAAACTTATATAAAAATAGTATGTAATTCTATTTATTTCTAATATTCAAATTTTAATACGCGATTTAAAAGATGTGATTGTCAAACTAAATCACACACGTAATGGAATAAATAGTAATAAAAATTCATCAAATCTTTAATAAGTACTATGTGAATACAAGCCACTGATTAACTAACTGTACTAATTATGTTAAAACATACAAAAGTAAAATTATAAATTTTTGATAAAATTTTGATTTTACCTTACTTTCGAGAAGATCAAGGTGTTATTTACGGTACACTTATTTTTTTCAATTTAGTGTTTTTTTTTTATTTATTGATAATAATACAAATAACTTACTAAATGACCATATCGCAAAAGATCATATTAATACCATTGGAGAAACTACTAATTCTTTATCATTGCACAAATGGCGAACTGTACGAATTCAATGTACATATATCCCGCTAATTTATTACAATTAAATAATGTTCATTTACTCAAATTTATATTATACCGGTTAAATTCAATGTGAACGATGAGAATCTTTACTAATATCATAAATATAAAACTGATTCTGTCTATATGTTTGTTTGGTACGTTTCCATTACCAATTACGATTAATCGAACACAGCGACAGACAAAATATGTGTGACGACAAGAAATTCTAATAATGATCAGAAAAGAGGTCTCATACTCAACAACACTTACTGTGTGTATATACAGGTTGAAACTACTAGCGGTAGGTAAAAATAAGAATGTATCCATGATATACGAGTTTTAACTTGTCCTTTAGGACAAAAAGTTCATACATCTTAAATTCAAAAACGACGAAACACTTTTGAATCTCTCGTACTAACTCAACAGCTGTACGCGACGTGTTACTATGGTTTTTTTTGTTTATATTTCTTTGATAAAGGTATTCACTTTCACAGGTGAAGAAACTGTCTTCAAAGAATGCTAACAATTTTCATTTTCTTGTATATGGGAGTATTTCTAAATGAAATACGTTTTTTAACGGCCGATCGCCTAACATATTTTTCGCGTTATTTTTAATTACAACGATGTTGAGACCTGGCAAGGTTTAGAACATTTGTTTGTTTCTTGACCAATATACAACACATATTTGCTTGCGACTTGAATATATTCTAGAGCCACTACCATATTACAAACATAAAAAATAGACCATAATAAAAAGTAGTCGCTATTGTTAGTTGTTTCATTTATTTATCAATGAAGTTAATAAATAAGTTTTAGTTTAAAACATCTCTTAATAAATTAAAACTGAATAGAATTTATATTGATTATAGTTCCTACACTTAATAAATGATCTTTTTATTCGAGACATTTCCTATTTATATCTGCCATTTAACTATAAATATAAATTAAAAATTATGTCAACGATCATTAATAAGTACATTTACACCTTATATATGTAAATAAAATTGCCTGGGATGTGACAAGGATAAACATTTTTCGACAATATGTCAAGAAGGAACACAGTAGAAGAACACCTAAATAATGATTTAGGTGATGTTTTATTAAAGACGTTTTGAGTGTTGACTGGGACTGTTATTATTAATAATTTATTTATTCTTTATTGCACAATAAAATTTGTACAAATAATCCTAGATATCAGTACAATTTAACAAAAAGTTAAACACACCGAGTTCTTAACCTGACCAGATAGTTTAGTTATGTTCTAAAATAACCAATTACAAAGCAATTAACTGACTGGGTTTGAATCACTGAAAAAGCTTTTTAAAAACTTTTTATAAAAAAAACATTTGATTGTTGGTTTATAATGGATAAACTCAAAAACTACTAAACTGATTTTAAAAATCCTATCACTTATAGAAAATTACATTATCAGCAAATAACATAAGCTGTATATTATTTTCGAGAATGCTATTTACCCATGCGTTGACAGTCAGAATCACAAAAAAAAAAACTTAAAAATATAGATGAATGTGCTACTAATTGTATTTAGAGTGTGATCCTGTTAAAAAAACTGTTTGTTTACTTTTTTATTAAAGAAGTTTGACATAGATTTTACAACAATATATGTATAATACAAATTACGACTATATTGAAGAAAAAATATTTGTATATAATAATAATTCATTTTTATGTTTCGTATTGGTAACAAAAAAAGTTAATTAGTTGACGCAATTCAAAATTATTTTAAAATATTAGCCTAGTTAAATGAATACTGCATAAAACAAAATTTCTTTCACCACACGTATTTTGTATGTGTACGCTTAGACTGGTATATATTTTATGTGGGTATGTGGCTCGCAATAATCCTTCTCACAAAGATCCAACATATTTTTTTATATAACAATAACTACATATGATTTTTATAAGACAATATTGAGTATTGAATCTCAAATTAAAATGAAACTGATGCTAAAAAAGTTTTTTTTTTTAAATAACTTACTAAAAGCATTCCTGTCCTGAAATGATACTAAGCAGTATCAAGCAAAATATTTTTATATTTTTGGGTTATTCATAATTGAAAATAACTGTAATTACACAGACCAAGTAATTTTAATCATAGTAATTGTTTATAACTCAAACCAAGATGACAGCAATTGAAATAATGCTTACAAAACTTAATTATTAAAATTTAATAAACTAAGCAAATTATAAACATACTCTACACTACATGTTTATAATTCCAACCATACCTATCTTATCCACTCAATATTCCATGGACTTATCACATTTACCAACAAATAAGTCAAGGTTCAAAGTAGGTGGCCCCTTCCACCTCTCCCTTCACACCTATTACATGAACAGACTTATTAAGTGATAATCATAAGTAAATATCCATAGATTTCACAGACAGAAGGCTATGCCATTATTCGCCATGCGAACTCTCTTTACTGCAACAATGTTCTATAACATTTTTATCTCGAAGAAGCATTAGCGGAAGACAGATGATGGTTTTGTTGGTCCTCTTAATGATCACATAGACCATTATAAGATCCAATAAACCACGATCTATTCCAATTTCACACGACAAACAAGGTTTACAGACGACAAATCTAACATATGTCTCAACTCCATTATGTATAGCCGGATCCAGAACATGTACTGTTTTACATGTAGAAAGACTACAGTATAGAATATTGAACACGGCCGTGGAACGGTTCAACACGCGACCACCTCCTACAAACAGAATCCCAAAAAGTGATGTAGCCAAACGAGTACGTCGTACTATACGGTCAAATTAATAATAGGGACGTCACTCAAAGTTTAATTTGTATTATTCAGGAAAAAACAATTTGGATAGAGATCACTTTTTCTGCACTCCTACACTAAGAGAGAAATAGCAACTTGAACCGCCAAGAAGTCAGAGTACAGCGGAAAGCCAGCACTACAATTTTTAATTTAACCGTATAATAGAAAGCATGCGTACTCGTCAGTAGCCCCTCACCTTTAAGCTAGGTCGATGTTCACGCCGAAAACGGATGCGCGTGGGCGGGCCGAGAACGAGTGCGGAGGCGGATGCGAGCGCGCGCTCAGAGCTTGCGCGGGCGCGTGAGGCGGCGCTTCTTGCGCTCGGGCGTGGCGCCGGCCGCGCCGCCCGCGCCAGCCGCGCCGCCCGGCTCGGCGGACGCGCGGCGCCGCGTCGGCGGCGTGCCGGCGTCCTCGGCGCCGCTCGACTCGGCCTTCAGCTCGGCCTTGCTCGGCAGCTCCGTGGCCGCATCGACCGCTGCGCCGCCGGCTGTGCCGCCGCCCGCCGAGCTCGCGCCGGGACCCTCCTCGCTCGTCTCGGCGCTAGTTCCGGCGGCCCACTGCACATTTTCGAATGTTTTCTATAGACACCTTCTCTTTTAGATTCCGTCAAAAAAAAAAGTAATAAATAAATTGTACAGATAATGAAAGAACAAGTTTTGCTTTGCTTAAAAATGTGGCTTCGATTACTATTAATATGGAACTAACATAGGATTTCCATTGGTTGCAATAACGGATCAGGATAACAATAATCTATATAAATCATAAACTAATCTACAAGTTCGATTTAGTTTAAAATCAACATAAATAAAATCGGTAACCCCATAGATTAGAATACAAAACAGATTTAAAAATATTAATATTGTGGCTACATCTTCCACGTATGTAAATTTTGTATTCGAAGTGGGCAAAAAAACATTTATAGTATATGTATATATATCATTAATTGATAAATATTGTTAGAGGATGAACTAACTTAATATATGTTTCAGACAGTAAGTTGTCTAAAATTTAAAATATTTATATTTCAAACCAAACTATACAGTCAATAGTGAATTATAGAGAACTACTTAAGTAGTTCGCCGTAAAATACCAATAATATAGGTATTTCGAATCTACATTAATGACTAATAAAAAAAATAATACTTATAATTAATAAGAACATGAGCATATATTATAATTTTATTACTTGTGAAAGGGATGAAGCAGGAGAGACGCTTAGTGCAGCCCCGCATTCCGCACACAATGGAGGTACGGCCGGCGAGCGGGACCGCCAATACTGTAGCTCCGTTTTGCATTTATTCAATTCCTGAAATATTAACAATATAATAATTTAAATTATTAATTTATTATTAGATAATACACTGCATACTTATTTTTCGGTTTGCCCAATGGCTGACTGGTAGAGAACAACGGAAGATGTACATATTTTCAATAAGTTTCATATTAATAATTACGTGTAGAACCATGTATCGATGACCTGTGACTTAATAATACTAAACCTATATAATAAATAATACAATGTGTACCACCAAGGGCATATTCATATAATAGGTGTTACGCATATTAGATAACGCGCGCGCGGATCAACATATGCACATTGATAGATAAATAAGTAGACATTAATTCATCAAAAATATAACACGTATTTCTTTGTTCGTAAATACACACATAATCCCCCTCACTAAATCCAATCAATTGCGACATATATTTCCTATGACATCAAAGTACATGTTAACACAAGTGTCAGCTAGTTTTAAGTTGACGCCAAGTCTCGAGAAAAAAATATTTCTATTTAAGATTTTTTTTATGTGAAAGATTATTAGTAATAGAAACCAGCAACCCCACTGCTAGTAATATACCCTATTAAGTCCACATTCAAGTGATTCCCAATAACAATCGTGGTTAATTATTCCTTGAACTTGTCAAGGTAGGTTAAGTGACACGAATTCATCTTCACTGGTGCTCCATCAGCATATAGTAGAGGTGGATTTAGCATTCCATTATCATACATTAGAATAAGACCTAAGTCTAAGGCAACACATAAATGATAGATGTTAAACACGTGTTAGGATGATATAAGGAAAGATAATCTCATTTTAGAAAATTAAATATTTGTTAGTGGATAATACATGCTTAAATGCCTGTCATAGGAACATAATTGCAATTGCATTGAAAACTGTAGAATATTAGCAAAATTTTTAATACTATAAAAATATTCTCTTTTTTTTTACTTTTAATTAAAGCTAACCTGAAGTAAAGTTTGAAATTTGCGACTTGTTTCTTCATTTTTCTTATCATAGTCATCAAGGCGGTTTGCATACTCTAAAGTTTGCTTCTGTTGTTCTGCTATCTGTTTTTGTTGTTCAGCTATTTGCTTCTGTTGTAGAGCTGTCTTTCGTTTGCAGTTACGGAGATCGCTACGTAATGCCGACAATTGGTCGTTATATCTATAAAATCAAATTGAAAATTTAAGAGCATCTTATAAAAATATTTATATTATTATAATAAAATATCTATGTTTATTATATCTAGTTAAATTGTATCTTAAAATCTTTATATGCTTCGGATTTTTATTAAAAATTTATAAATCAATTTGACACAGAAATAATGCACACTTTTCCAAGATAATTTGAGAACCCTGCATTTAGATATAAGCATGCATCCTATAGGGCAGGGGAAAGCACAACACACAAGATTCCGATGCATCGACGTACAACGGTTTAGCTGACCCCATATGCGAATATAAGATAAGAATATACCCTGCATTTATATGGGGTAAATTATTACAAATATTTAATTTCCAAAAACAATTCTTTATGCTAATGAAGAACAAGGATACTAATTAAGACTACTTAATGTGATATTAAAATCAATTAATTAACCATGAGTACATTTTTCACGTCCTATAATTATTAATACTTAGTACCTACACATTTTTTTTCACTGCCTGCTAAATAATTGCTTTCTGTTCTACTTCCACACTATTAATTGTTACAGAGTATAATTTATCTGTAACTTCTACTTGTTTTCCTCTCAATAAACTAACATTAATGTTTCCTTTATTAAAATTATGAATAACAGTAGTCGACATAATTTAATATAAAAGACTCATGTACTAAAATTTTATAATAATACACTATTGATATTCTTATAAATAAATTGGTTGTACTTAAGCAATGTAGGTCATAACTAATATATTTTTATTTTAAAGATATGCCCCCTTATTTATAAAATCTAAAACCATTTATAAACCTTTTTCAAATATTACACTGTTTGTTACTTTTTTTCAAATTTGGAATTTAGCATAAAAAAAAAGATGTTTATGAGAGGTTTGACATTTTATGAATAATATAATACTCTCAATATTGTATATCTTAATAATTTCAATAAGAAAGAAAATTGTTTAATTACGGACAAAAGTAATAAATTCTTACTTTTTCATTCCTTGTTTAATACGGTGTATCCGTTTTCTTAGAACCATGTTGCTTTGTGGCGGCGGGGGTGAGGGTGGTAAGCTTTCCTCCATGTACAGATTGAGCGATGATACACGGCGATCACCGGACGAGTTGCCGCCCTGTTGTTGGGAAGATGACTCAAAGCCACTTGGTGGTGGTGAATCCAAACACATATATGACTTACTACTCTCACCCGCTGAAAAGTAATTTTATTAACAATAAATAAGTAATTATTATTATGTGGCTACAAAAACAACAAGTGTTAATATTGGCCAACAATCAAAATTATGTTGATATTAATATATTTTTTTTAAAGTAAATTACCAGTAGAAATAAATATGATGCAAACAAAACGAAAGCACTCTAAAACACTGATTGCTCTAACATCATGTGTGCTATGACCTAAAATTCATTATGATTTTAGGCAAATAATATATGAACATCTGACTGACATAGGGAAAGTTACATACACACAGTTTTCCACCCTGATAAAATATATTTTTTAATACATGTACTAGTATTTTATTTAGTATTTTTGCATAACATGCCAAAGTTTAATGTTCTTTTACAAAATAATAAAACACAAAAGAAACAAAACACTAGAATAGGTCAGGTTGAATATGTAAAGTGTTAAATAATTGTATATTGTTCTGAATTCCTTTTTTTCTTTCTAGTCTGTCTTTAATTTATTAATAATGAATTCCGAAATAAATACATGCTATATTTGTTTGCTAAAAATCAGATTATCTCATGATATAAGACCTGTGTAAGTCACAGATTTAAAATTATATCAAGATTTTAATTATTTGAAATTTAAAACTATTTTCTAAGAAAAATAGTGTTAAATTATAGAAATGTATAAAAATTTTTAATAAATTATTATGCAGCAGATATATCAAATATTGGTACCTCATAGTTTACATTATTTACTTGTAAAAAGCATATTACTAATTAAGTATATTATTAAAATATCTAGTTATGAACATATAAAAAAATTACATTGCTTTTAGCTTACTTATAGGAACAATAAGCTTAGCAATTCTTTGTTGATAAATAAACATGATGCCTATGAATAATGATAAAAGTACTTACGAGAAAATGCTGTGGTAATGTCAAAGAAATCTGTGCCAAAGTATGTTATCTCAGGCAAATTAGGTTCAATGTGTTCTTTAAAGTATTCCATGGCCATCGTAGTCAAATCAAAGAGTTCATCAGTTACTTTATAAGGCCTTGCCAGTTTAGTAGTTGTTTTTAAGTAGGACAGAATACTGTATACCTCATCTAGTATCTAAAATTATAAAATCAAATTATAAAAAAAAACCACTCTATTTAGATTATAGTACATATTTTTTGTTATAATGGGCACTATTTATAATTATAGAGACATTTAAGAATAACATAAATAAATAAGACATTAATTAATTCTTATTTTGTGAACCAATTTAATACGTAATTATTTCATTCAAAATTAGCAATGCTTCCAAGCCTATATTATTTAAATAACTATACAAAAATATTATATATTTTTTTCATTTGTACTAAATAAATTAATTGTTAATTAAGTAGTTAAATAAAATAGGTTCAAAAGATAAGAAAAGTACAGGGACTTTTCTTATCTTTTGAATCGATTTTTCTTTTTATAATCTCAACGATGTAAAATTTATGTTATGATTTGATCAAGACTCAAATAAAATTTCTTTATGGAATGAAATTTTAGATTATTATCAGTTGGGAAATGATTTGAAATTTTTAAAATGTATAATATACAATAGAAATAAATGTACAATAGAATCCAATGTTTTATTACTCTTTTGACTAAACAGGTTGGACAGTACCCTGGGGCCCCCAAGTACAGAAAGAAATTTGTGATGTCCATTGTGCTTTTCATTACTGTAGGTGATGGTTACCATTTTTCATGTGATGGGCAATCAGCTTGTTTGCCATCCTATATAACATACAACAATATTATATACAGTAATGAAATCATAGTTCCAATATTTCTTAATAAACCAAACTTATTTTAACCCTTGATTATTACTAGGATTTTTTTTTCAACAATTTAGGTTATGGACATGGTTTTTTTTTGTATACATTGTAATACACATCTCTAAGTATAACAAACTTAATTCTATAGTAATATTCACGAAAATAGAATAACTTTCATCAAAAAGTGCACTTAATTTATAAATCTTTCATTTCATTAATCATGGCTGAGCAATTTTCATAGACTTAGAATGGCAAACAAGCTGACGGCCCATCTAATGGTGAAAGTGGTAACCGTTGCCTATAGACATGAGCAGTACCATGGATATAACAGAGTATACTGTTTCGCCCATGATACCCCCTATTTGTTGCCATTCCTGAGGACTCAGGTGTTATTCCTCTGTATCCTATAAATTCACTGCTATATCCCACCCTTCAAACCGAAACACAGCTATGCAAACACAACTGCTTTATGATAGAAAAACGAATGGGTCAGAGGTACCCAAGCAAATGACTTTTGTACAAAGTCTCCCTCTGGTAAAGTTAAAAAAGGTTGTCACATAATTGTTTATACCTAGAATAAGTTTACTATTGTAATCTTATAGAGGTAATAATAAAAAGTATCTATCTATGTATCACATGTCTGTCTATATACCTTGGGTGATCTTGTTGATTCTATATTAGTTATCACTAAATTTGTTTTACCCATTTTATTACATATCAGACTTATAGGTCTAATAATTTCTTTTGTTGTCACAATGAAATATTTTTTTATTATATAACTTATTCATTACATGTATGTAAGAAAATACTTTACCTCTCCTGGGAAAAAACAGCAATGTTTTCTTTCAATGTGTTTTCCAAATGTCATCTGCAAGAGACTAAGCCTCATGTGCAGTGTTTCAATGATATCAGACTCACAAGCCAAAGGGTGACTTCTGCGAGCTGACTCACGACGCGGCATCTTGGCTTTGATAGATTGGAATCTATGTAACATCTGGTTTTGAAGCCGTTGAAATGTAGAATTTAAGATAGAACTACATATTGTATTAAATTGCCGATTGACCTGAAAACACAAAAATAAGCATGATTCTAGTGATATAAATAAAAACCACTTGCCACCACCTATGCACCTATTTGGCTAATTATTTTTTTCCCCTTAATTTCATAATTAATTAGGACAAGGTTTGTTGGGAAGAAAATGTTTAAATTATCATTCTTTACTTTTTTTTTTTTTTAATGGATGATAATGAAATGGTAGCCCCGTCTGCGCTATTGGTATACGCTGGCGGGACACCAGTGAGGGATGATAGATGAGGGTGAAGCAGGTCAGTTAGCCCATCGTAACAAATTCGACAATAAACCAATCACGATGGTTTCCAGGGGGAACCGCGAGGAGGTCGACCTGATAGGGTTTATTACTAGCAATGGGGTTGCTAATCCCCATTACTAACAATCCCTTTCCCCCATCATTCTTTATTACACTCATGCAAAACTGAGACAGCCACTAGTTACATATAAATTTCCTATGCTAGTGTTTATATGATAATGTATCTTTCAATAATAATAAAATATTCTACCAAATCTTGTATAGTGCAAAAATTATTCCTTGATGTCATTATTTTCCGAAATGGAATTATGATTACAGTAGAAAGATATCTTAAAGATTGCTTTCAGCAGTAAAACATATTTTTCACATTATATTTTCCATTGTTGTACTTTATGAAGTACCTATATGTTATGTGTAGTGTAAATAAAGCATATTGTAATATCTAAAAATAGTAAAAAATACTTATTTTATAATATGATTAAAGTTATCACAATATCATCATAACATTTCCAATAATATTATTAAAATTAACTTGTAATTGCCCACTGCAATATTACTGGTAATAAATATGAAATTAAATTTCAAGTATACTTGAACAAAAAGTATTAAAGTGTATATTTTAATGACTAAGTAAATGAATATGGGCTATTTTCAAAATATGTATAACTTCCACACAGTTTACCATAAAGAATGGGTAATTTCACTAGTAAACAGAAATACATAAAGAAAACCAGTACATTCCTTAACTTACCTTAATATGAATGTACCTTGCACACATCATTTAATTATATCAGTTTTCTTTTAGAATATTATTTATGTTTGAATAATCTCAAACATTACAGTAATTATTATTATAGTAATTCAATAGAAACCATCTTAACAAATTATAAAATTAATATTATTCTTTAATATTGTCAACATGATTTGTAAATTCAGATGGAGTACTCAACTATGTCCATCAATGGTGATAATATTAAACTTGTCCAAATTATGAAAATCTCTATTTAAATTGTAACAAAATTCAATAATGTAATCAATACATAATTATATGTAAAGCTATTTCACTCTTACTTAAATATGAATTATTTAATATGATAAATATAAAAGTTTGTAAAGATGTTTGGATATCAGTAAATCGCTGAACAGGTTTGAATGAAATTTGGTAGGTTATATCCTAACACATAGATACTTTATATTTTAATTCACATGGGCAAAGCCATAGTTAGTAGAAATAAGAAAATAATTTAAATAATAAATATAAATGCAAAATATTAACCATCCTGAGTTGTGAGACAGTTTTGAATCCCAAGTAGCTAAAAATTTTATCTACTACTTCAATGGGCAGATCAAGTAAATTGGTAGTGTAAGTTTTCGGTGCCGGAACTATGCTGTTACACTTCGAAGAGCTGGCATGTGGTGAAGAACCACCCGGGAGCAAGGCGCTAGAATGACGAGTCACGCGGGACACAGCTACTGGTTCCGCGTGAGAAGGCCCTGCACCTTCGCTACTTCCACTGCTGCCTCCGACACTACTCATTTGCCTCGTTGACACCATTTTGTTCAATTTACTTTTTAGTTATTTCTGAAAACTAAACTTTCATCTTTACTACCAATACACTAAGTACTCAATAGAAAAAATATTTTTTTATTGTCATTAATCACCAACATATCCTCTATTTATATTTTATACAATTAGTTTAATACCTTCTGAATCAAAATTAATACTTTACTTAATTATTAGTACATTATTTTTTGTATAATAAAAACATATTAATTATGTGCACTAGAGAACCAATTCTAAAATGGTGGCCATGGACAGCTAGATCGTACCTAATCACTTGAAAATTCATTTATGATATCTATGTAAAGTCTGATAAATTACGTAAAGATATAATCAAATCACTCACTCAAGAGTTCATGTACATGTTTTCTTAATTAGATCTGATATTTTCTTTTCTAACAAAATAATAATGCGACGCAGTAGTTCGAAACGCGTTAAGCTTTCACAAAAAATATTTTTTTGTACGTTTGATGGTTGGTTAAACTGATCGGAGATAGAGATTGGGTTGCTAGTTATTACTTGTTTCTTGCTTGCATTAAAAAGGAATACTTTTTAAAGAACGTTATACACGCTGTACACATATAATGACTAGATTGTGAAGTGTATAGTACGTTACACTAAGCTTATAGTGATAAGTATTGTACCTATTTTAGGAGGAAAAAAATACATGGAACACTATTATGAATTAGTTTTACCTTTTGTCATTTAATCGCAAAATGCTTTGTATTTTATGTTTTAGAAAATGCATTTAACATATTTAAAGCTTAATATGTAATTGTAGTATTCAATACTTTTTTCATTTAGCAATTGTTCACGCAGCATGTATTCTTTTTACTCCCTTACTTAGTGATTTTTACTTCATTTATTTAGTTATTTTAATTTTTTAATGCATGCGTGGAGAGATTACTGCGTCATATTTGAGAATTTTTATTTATTTAAATATATATCAATTATTTTGACCTTTTTAATTATTTCCATTCTATTAGTCTATGTTAGAAAATCATAATTTCTTTCCAATGCTTAAATATTCTTTAAGAATCATATATTAACAAAGTATTAAAAAAGACGTATTTAAAATATTTTACTTACAGCATTAATTTTTTGTCAACAATTTATTCCAATTATACGTCATCAACATGTATCCATAATCTAAGCGTGTATCATTATTTTCCTATAAACTGTAAATCACTTCTTTATATTCCAGGGTAAAGTATACGACTCTAGTATTTTCGTTCAGGGACTGCAATCAGAAGGTGATAGTTGACCCGCTAGTTTCTTAAAAAAGTTTCTGTAAGAAAGAGGTTGTACACGGCTATAGACCTACAGCTCAATTAAATAGAGAAATAAAATGACTTGTGTCTTGTATACTAAAATAATCGTTGTAACATTGTACGTAATAAAATATTTAAATATTAAATAACATTATTGGTCTCCTGTAACATTCCACATCCATCAGGTTATGGGCCAGCAACGCACAGATGGCGAATACAAAAAATCAAGTTGGATTTGAACATCTTAATAAAACAAATTATGATACATGGAAAATACAAGCAGAAGCTGTACTCATAAAAGCAGGACTTTTTACATGTTTATCATCAACCGATATTAATGCAGAAAAAGATTTATTGGCCAAAGCCGAACTGCAATTAATAATTTCGCCGTCCCAACTTAAATTAGTAAAATCATGCAAAACAGCAAAAGACGTATGGGAGACCCTTAAAAACGCTTACGAAAGTCGTGGACCTGCACGAAAAGCAACATTATTAAAAAAGTTACTACACAAAAAAATGAAACATGATGAATCCGCCAGAGATCATATAAATGAATTCATCGACTTGGTGGATAAATTAAAAGACATGGACATCAGCATCAATGAAGACCTCCTGAGCATAATGTTACTATACAGTTTGCCAGATTCCTACGAGAACTTGTTAGAAATAGGTTTATTTTCATACAACTATGCACTACTGGCCGGTTGTAATTTAAAAAGATATGTTTTTTAAATTTAGTTGACTGTTAGAAACAATCGTTCCTTTCTGTATTTTTCTCTTCTATTAAATTTTATCGTACTTTTATATTGTGTTTATCCTATTCCCTTCCACTACGGAAATATAAGCTGATATCACAAACAGAAATACCAACAGGTTATGGGCTGGGAGTAAAAGGTAAAATATGATTGAAAGTAATGGTGATGGTTCGATTGCAAACTCAATCATGAATAACAGACCGTCATCATCAAACGATAATGAGAGTGGTAGTCCACCGTCTATCGAAAAACTCGATGGGAATAGCAATTACAACAGTTGGAAATTTGCTATGGAGCTATACCTTCTCCATGACGATTTATGGAAATACACACAGGTATCACCGGAGAATGATGATGTAATAGGAGTGAGAAGAGATCAGAAGGCTCGCGCTAAGATATGCCTAATGGTGAAATCACGTTGTTTAGTACATGTTAGAGAATGCAAAACAGCTAAACAAGCATGGGAAGCACTGAAAATTGCTTTTGAGGATAAAGGCATAAATAACCGATGTCGCCTTTTATCAAAATTAGTAAGTTTGAAGTTAGAACAATTTACGTCAGTGAGAGACTACGTAACGACTATTATGACGATATCGCAGCAGTTAAGCGATATTGGGAAGAAGATTAATGATGAGCTCCTAGCTGCTCTTATGCTTCAGGGACTTACTGAAAATTTTCAGCCAATGAGATTAGCGCTCGAAAATACTAATACAGTATTAACAACAGATTTTATTAAGATGAAGCTTTTCCAAATGGAGGACACATATACATCAGGGAGCTCGAGTAATGCCCCGGATAACTCTGCACTACTGATTAACAGAAAGACTAAAGAGAAGGTTCACAAGAAAAAATATAAGAAGCAAATCAAATGTTTTATCTGTGGTGAACCTCATAAGGCTTTTGAATGTCCGAATAACCCAAAACAAAAGAAGGATGCTATGCAGGCTTTTGTTTTTGCTGTCAGTGGAAATTCTCAGGATGAAGAATGGATCTTAGACTCCGGAGCATCTACACATATGACAAATAGAAGAGATTGGTTTAAGGAATTCAAATGTTTTGATAAGTCTGAGAGAGTGGAAGTTAACTGTGCAAATGGTGATAAGATGTATGGTGAAGGAAAAGGTACTGTATCGAGTCAAATAGGTGTAAACGTGAGCGATGTCTTGTTTGTACCTAAATTGAGTACTAACTTACTAAGTGTCAGTAACATAGTGAGTAGAGGTAATGTAGTTGTATTTTCGGAGAAAGGATGTGAGATTTTCCTGGCTGATGAATGCGAGGTGAAAGGGAGAGTAGTCGCTAAAGGCATATTAGAGAGAGGTGTCTATAAACTCAAATCCTCTTCACAGGGCACAGCATTAAATACAGCTACACTTGGCGAGATGGAGATGTGGCATAAGAGAATGGGTCATCTTGGAGTAAGAAATCTAAAACTACTTAAAGATAAAATGGCCATAGGGGTAAGTTTTCCTAAATCTTCAACACTTCAATGCGTTTCCTGTGTTATGGGGAAACAAACAAAAATACCATTTAAGAAAACTAAAGGTACTAGAGCTACAGAGATATTAGGGTTGGTACACTCTGACGTTTGTGGACCAATGAGTGAGAGTTCTTTTAGCGGGTTTAGATATTTTATTACGTTTATTGACGATTTTACACGGAAAACATTTATTTACTTTCTTAAACAAAAAAGTGAGACGTTTTCTAAAATCCAAGAGTTTAAGGTATTTGCTGAAAATCAAACCGGCAAGAAACTTAAGATATTAAGAACGGATAACGGGACGGAGTATGTCAATAAACAAGTAGATAATTATCTTAAATCCCATGGTATACAACATCAACTTACTATAGAGTATACGCCTGAACAAAACGGTGTTGCTGAACGGGCAAACAGAACAATTGTAGAGAAAGGAAGATGTATGTTACAAGAAGCAGGATTAAGCATCCGATATTGGGCTGAGGCCGCCAATACGGCTGTTTTCTTGAAAAATAGATCACCTACTAAAGCTGTTAAAGATATAACACCGGAAGAGGCTTGGACGGGACATAAAACCAACCTAAGTATGATTAAAATTTTTGGTTGTAAGGCTTTTATGCATATTAATAATAATAAGAGGAAAAAATGGGATGTAAAAAGCCTACCATTGATGCATATCGGCTATTGTTTAGACTCTAAGGCATATTCTTTGATGGATCCAGTTACAAAAAAGAAGTATAAGGCAAGAAATGTCATATTTTTTGAAAATCAAATGTACTTCGAGAATAAAAAGGATGTATCTGTGAAATCGAATGATATATGTTTTAGAAGAGAAGAGTCTGTTGAACGTAAGGAAAATGACAATGTAATTCTAAATTTAGATAATGACATTAATCTTAATAACTTAGGAAATCGAAGAGATATGGATGTCTTAGAAATTGAAAACCTACCAATAGAAGACAGAGAGGATATTGACGGAAACGACACTTGTGAAGAGTGGGCATCTGCTGATGAGAGAAATGATACGGAAGTTCTGGAAGATCAAACTGTATCATATGATGTTCCAGATCGTAGGTATCCGTTTAGAGAGAGAAAGGCTAAGGTACAACCTGACTTCATTAGTTATCAAGTTACAACAGAGAGAGACCCCTTAACTGTTAATGAAGCATTATCTAGGAGTGATGGAGATAAATGGAGAGTTGCGATTCAGGAGGAGTTACAATCTATTCAGGAGAACGAGACGTGGACTCTTGTAAAGCCACCTAGTAATTGCAACATTGTCGATTCTAAATGGTTATTTAGAATTAAAAATGAGGGGGGAATAAAATTAGATATAAAGCTCGACTAGTGGCAAGAGGCTTCAGCCAAAGAGAAGGGATAGACTATTTCGAAACTTTTTCACCTGTAGTGAGACACAGTTCGCTGAGGACACTTCTTGCATTAGCCGCGAGAACAGGTTTAAATGTGGATCAGATGGATGTCAAAACAGCATTCCTCAATGGCAATCTAACTGAAACAGTCTATATGAGACAACCAGCAGGGTTTGAAGAGAAAGGTAAGGAGGACCATGTTTGTCTACTGAAAAAATCTCTCTATGGATTGAAGCAAGCACCAAGAGCTTGGAATCAAAAACTACATTCGGAGCTAATTAAACTTAACTTCAAGAGATCGAAGAATGAGCCCTGTATCTACACGAGATCTAAAGGTGATAATAAGATTATTATTGCTATTTATGTGGATGATATGCTGATCTTCTGGAACAATGCTAAAGAGTTGTGTCAAGTAAAGAAGGACTTGATGTCTAAATTTCATATGAAGGACCTTGGGAAAGCCGAGTTTATATTAGGCATTCGTATCACCCAAGATCATAAAGGTATTAAACTGGACCAGGAACAGTATGTAGATAAATTGCTTAAACGCTTTAAGATGGAAGCTTGCAAAGTGGCCGCAACTCCGTCTGTACCAGGCCAGA